CTTACAATAACCCTGCAAGACAACTACAACAACAATAAAATAGTATCATCAGGCTGGGGCTGTAGTTCAGAGGTGGAGCGCTTGCCCCTCACATGTGAGCCACTGGGTTCGATCCTTAGCACCACATAAAAATAAAGAAAGATATTATGTTTATCTACAACCAAAAAAAAAAAAAAAAAAAAAACCTGTATCATCATTACTGGACAGATAAGAAAACTAAGGCCAACAATTAAAAAAGAGTGGATCAGGGTTTCAAACTCTAGCTTCCTAACACTGGATTACACTCATGCAGCACACACACCTGTCATTCCTTTGGTTGGCAAACTTAACTCCTTGGGCATTGCTGAAGGTAGTAGCATTAAGGTGTGGATCCTGAGATGAGGTTGGGAAGGAATCGTTCAGTTACAAGTGATAGAAACCCAACAAAGTGGTTGGGCTTCTTTGCCTTTCTGAGCCTCAGTTTCTTGTTTCTCAGAGTGTTAATGTCAAGTTTAAGTGAAATAACATAAAAATACCTGGCATCATGCTAAATATAAGTATGTGTGTATGAGTTTCTCTCTCTCTCTCTCTCATACACACACACACACACACACACACACACACACACAGGGGATTGAACCCAGGGGCACTTAATCACTGAGCACATCCCCAACCCTTTTTATATTTTATTTTGAGACAGGGTCTTGTGGCCTTGATAAATTACTAAGGCTGACTTTGAATTCAAGGTCCTCCTGCTCAGCCTCCTGAGCCCCTGCAATTACAGGTGTGTGCCACTGTGCCCAGCTTAAATACTAAATATCAAAACCTCTATCAGAGGTCTTGTTTCCCAGAGACAAGGAAAGCAACTCTGAGCAGAGGGCACTGGGGAAGAAGGTAGTCTGCTTATCTGCAGTTGCAAATTGAACTCACTCTTGTTCTTAAGGTCATAGATGTCTCAGAATGAACACTGGGTCCAGAAGCCTGAGTGTGAGTGTAGAATTCATGCTGCCAAAGCTTGGAACTTGGATGCATCGTGTGCCAAAGCTGACTGAGATAAATGCTGCTGGCCTAAGAGCAGCTACTGTAGGCCTAGGTAGTTTTCCATCCATGACCTTGGAGGCTTGCAAAGAGTCCAGTGCAGTAAAGATTTGTTTATTTAAGTATAAAATGCATAAGGTGGTGGGGGAGAAGCACAGATCTAAAGAGATCACCTCAATATATTTTCTCACTGTGAGCACACCCATGTAGCAAGCACCCAGATAATCAGAAGTTGGCCAGCACCCTAGAAGCCCATGTCCTCTCACCCAGTCACCACCCCATAATTACCAAGTTAAGCTTGTCCTGAGTTCTAGCATCATAGGTTTCCTTGGTTTTGAATTTTATATAAATAGAACTGTACAGTCTATATTCCTTTGTGTCTGGCTTTATGTAGTAAAATATACATAGAATTTATTATTTTACCCATATTAAGCATATAATTCAGTGGCATTAAGTGTATTCATGCTATGCAACCCACATCCATCTCCAGAACTTTTTTTGAATATATTTTTTAGTTATAGATGGACATAATACCTTTATTTTTTATGTGGTACTGAGGCTAGAACCCAGTGCCTCAAACATGCTAGGCGAGTGCTCTACCACTGAGCCACAACCCTAGCCCCTCTCCAAAACTTTTTTAAAAATTAAGTTTTCCAATCTGGAACTCCACCCATTTAACACTGCAACTCCCACTCCTTCCTCCCCCAGCAACCTCCATTCTGCTTCCCATCTCTCTGAACCTGACTACTCTGGTCAGCTTGTATAAGTGGAATCAGATATGTGTCCTTTTGTGACTGGTTTAATTCCCTTAGCATGCCTTTAAGGTTTAGCTGTGTTGTAGCATGTGTCAGAACATTTTTCCCTTTTAAGAACTGAGTAATATTCCATTATATGTAAATACAATATTTTGTTTGTTAATTCATCTGTCAGTGGACATGTCTGGCTAATCTCTAATGTTCGAGAGATTCAGTCATTGTTGAATATAGTGAGAGACTGAATGTACATGTGGACGATGGCCAGACCATATATAAAAGAAGACCTCTGATCTACAACCTGCAGCAGCCTGCTCAGGAAATGCATCCAGTATCATGACCAACAGCCCAGGAGGCCAGATTGCTGTCTCTGGTGACAATTTAAGAAACTAAACAGTAACTTCTCTAATAACTGTCAGTTATTAATCAAACATCCAGTATTTGATTAATAACTGACAGATTCTCTCATTTCAGTCCCCACTTCCAATTTATAATCAACCAGAGGAAATCATATGTGCCCCTCACCAGTCACACAGAGCATCCTGCTTCTAGGTAGCCTGCCTGCAGCTTTCCCACGCCAACAGCCTGTGATCAGGACACCCCTGGCACCTTCCCTTTTCCCACTATAGTTTTCCCACTCCTCTGCCTGCCTTTGAGTCTCTGCCAAAATACAAGTAACAGTGGCTGACTCCCTTGATATAGCAGGCTCAGAAAAAAAGTAGCCTTTGCTTTCTCATTTGGTTGTCTTTGCTCATTGCCACAGTAGCTACGTTAGCTAGCTCATTCTCAGTGTTCCTCAGTGTTGTGTCTGTATTTATGTAATTTATCTACTGTTGTCACTGGGCATCCGGAGGGTTTCCAGGACGGCATGCTTGTCTGTGTCGTTCTGTAAAAGTAAATGCACGTTTCCATTGGGGAATTACCTTGAGAGGAACTGTGGGGTCCCAGGTGTGCTTACCAGTGTGCAGAGTTTGGCTGCTCCACATCTCACCAACGCAGGAATTTCTATCATTTCCATTTTGGCTGTTATGACAGGTGTGTAGTGATAGCAGTATAACAGTATAGTTTTAATTTACAGGTTCCAGCTGGGTGCAGTACCACACGACTATAATCCCAGTGACTAAGGTGGATAAGGCAGGGGAGTCACAAGTTTGAGGCCAGTCTCAACAGACCCTATCTTATTTAAAAAAAAAAAAAAATACTGGGGATGTACTTCAGTGGTAAAGCATCCCTGGTTCAATCCTTAGTACCAAAAAATGAAACAACCCCCCCCACCAAAAAAAAAAAAAACAAACATGTTCCTGATGCTTAAGGTTAAACCCTATCTCATACAGTTTTTGTTTTGCACTCCTGGGGATTTACACCCAGGGCCCTGCACATAGTAGGCAAGTTCTCTTTCTCCTAAGCTACCCCCAGCCCAAGACATACTTTTAAAAGTATGATCTGATCAAGCCAGTCCTTGCTTACAACCCTCTAAAGTCTCTCCTCCTCATGGGAAGTAACCCACACCCCTTCCCACGACCACCTTGACACCCTTCACCTACCTCATACACATGGTCTCAGGGAAAGTGACCATCCTTCCATTCTCCCAACAAGTAAACTTTTGTCCTTGCCTCAGGACCTTTGCTCTCGCCTTTCCCTTGGCCCAGAATGCTCATTTTTCAGTTCTCCCACCTGTGCTGGTTCCTTTCTTAATATATATAATATACATAATAAATATATAATAAATATATATATTAAATAAATATATATATTTTTCAATTGTAGATGGACACAATGCCTTTATTTTGTTTAGTTTTTTTTTTTTTTTAACATGGAGCTGGGGATCGAACCCAGTGCCTCACGCATCCTAGGCAAGCACTCTATCACTGAGCCACAACACCAGCCCCCTCCTTCTTGTCTTTTAGGTCTCACTTGAAGTGCCATCTCTCACAGGCCTGCTCAGATCACTCTATGTAAAGCTCTCTCCCTACACATATGTGCACACACACATTACTCTCAATCCTACCATCTTTTTTTTTAATAATTATAGCATATTATTTTCTTAAGTTATCACTATTTGTTTACATTACGTAGAATCTCTGTGACTATGACAGTTACAGTCCTAAACCAATGTTGCTGTGTTTTCTTGCACTAGTGACTCGAAAATCACAAGCATCGTTGCCTTTGATGATATAACTTTCTTGAAATGGAGAACAACTCTGGGCAAAGCTCCAAATAAAAGGAATTACAAGTGTCTTCATTTCTACATAGTTCTTGGAAAATTAGTAGTAAGATCACATAAAATATACTTTTTTAGTTGCAAATGAGTCTCAAATGTTTATTAACAAGTTTATTAACAAGTTGTGTAGAACTGTCCCAGGATGCACTACTGTAGGACACCCAACCAACCTGCCTCTGCCCATTTTAAATGTTGGCAGGGCCCTTCGATTGTTGTTAGTCAAAAACACAACCAAGATGACAGTACTGCAAAAACAAGGTGAAGTAATCTCAAAGGCTCTGCATCGTGTCTGTCATGTAATAAATGCTTAATCAGTGTTAATTTACTTCATCCTTCCTCTCCTTCTGTTTGTAGATTCTCAATCTGACCAACAGAGAATATCTGTCATCAACCCTGGTGACAGTAAGGAAAGTACACTGAATATTTCAAGGAGTGAGGTGAGTAAATTGGGCAACTATAAACACACCATTACCCCACTCCAGGAGAAGCTGGCGGAGGAGCATGATGACATTACGCAGACTATGCAATTATTTTATTAAATACCACAGAGCAGTGTGACTCGAGAGACCTGCTTACTTTTCAGTGTCACTCTGTTCCTCCATGTTGCCAGGTAGGTTTTTAACACTAGGAGAATCCAAGGTCAGGCTGGGAATTATTCCTGGATAAGGACGGGCCATGAGAGGCCAGGACCCTGCCGCTCTACTCTGAATGCTGGGCTGTGCCTGGGGTGGCATGCAACAGCAGATGAGGATGCAACCACAGCAGTTCTCTTGTGTGGTTCTGTGCTTGACTGCCTCTCCAGTTGCTCTGCAAGAACTGCGTTTTGTTCATCTTTACATCCCTGACAACTAACTCAGTCCTTAGCACACAGTAAGTGCCCAATCAAAGTCACCTACCTCTCCCAACTCTGGATCCCAGAATCTACACCCAGCAGAGTCAGTGTCACGAGGATTTACAACTCCATTATGCAGGCATGTGTGGAGGATCTCATTTTTAATAAGAGGACAGTCTGTGGTCCAAAGGACAGTTTATTTAAAACAAGATGTCAGAAGAAGGAAGGTTGGAGAACAACAATTCTAACATAAAAGCACATAGTAAGCATCTCAAATTTAAAAAAAACAAACCAAAAGGGAGGGGCAGTGGAGGAAACTATGTCTCATACATATACAAACTGCTGACCTCAACTGATTATTTACATCCAAACCTTACAAAATAGCATCTCAAGTCAGCACTTAAGCCGGTGTTATTAAGTTTATGTTACAAAAAATTAAAGCTACAAACTTCACATTTTAAAATTGTATATCAGCAACAGCATTTAAGCCTCTTTTCCCCCAAGTTGGTCCAAATGCAAGCTGGTGGAAGAGATTTTTTCCCCCAAAAAACAAATCAGAATGTGAATTCCAAAGACAATGAATACCCGATGAAACCATAAACACAGTGCTTAAGAAAGGATGGGGTGGGGTCAGTGGGGTGAGGGTTGTGAAGTGGGCAGGAACAATTTCCTCATAAATAAGGAGCTGTGATCTTCAGAGGCAACATGGTATGTTAGAAAGGGCACTAGATCAAGAGGCAGAGGACCTGGGTTTGAATCCTGGCTCTGCTATTTTTCCAGTAACATGAACTTGAGCAACAGACTTTACCTTTTAGCCTGTTTCCTCATCTGTAAAACAAGGGACAGTAACACCCATATCTCTCTCAAAGTTATTAAGTTTTAGAAGATGGCCATTAAGATAATCTATTTCTTCTTGAGTGAACTTTAGCACTTTGTGTTTTTCTAGGAATTTGTCTGTTTCATGTTAGTTATTGAATTTATTAGTGTAAAATTGTTCATAATATTCTGTAATTATCAGTTCTTTAAAATTTGTAGGTTATACAGGAATGATGCCATCTCATTCCTGACAGTAGCAGGGCTCCTGAGTTTTAAATCGTATAATACATTTCTGGCATCTGTAAGTGCTAAATAAATGTTTTCTTGATTACAGTCTATAGTTTTGAGGAGTCAAGATTATAGTTCTTAAACTGCTTCAGATTTCTGGTTCATTCATTCTTTCTATGACCTACCTACCTACCTATCTAATGTCCATCAGTCCATATGTGCACCCACCCACCAACCCTCTTCTCAATCCCAGCCAGCCAAATTCTTATCTACTCAAATGGTGGTTAGGGATAGGGATAAGGGAGAAATAAAAATAGAAATATGTTTCAAATGTACTAATGGCAAAACAGTTAAGATATTTCTAAAGAATATGAGATATTTTAAAGATGCAATTAGGTGTAGGGTCATGGTTTTTCTGAGAGCCTCAGAGTTTCATGAAGCTTGAGTTGCAAATATTCAAGCTCAATGAAAGCAAGCTTAAGTGTTTTCAATTTAGTATTCAAGGAAAAAATGACTAGGACTTGCTCCTGTGTTCCTGTCACGAGAAAACAAACACACCAGGAAATTACTCTGATCTAAAACATACTGTCCAAAGGTGACTTTGCTGGCCAGCAAGCTGGGTGTCCACATGTTACTTGAAACAAACTCCAGATCAAGGTTCATGGCCCAAGAATATTTATGAGAAAAAACTGAGCTTTCCTTTTCTGGAATTTTGTTTAGTAAAGGAAAAACCAGGCTTTCTCCTGTCTAACCAACCCCAAAGTTCTTTGTTTAAGGGGCAAAGAGATCAAGATAGAAGTGTTAATAAACACAATATTTTGGATTTTAAAACTTACTTGGCTGGCAGACTTGACTTTGAGTTCAGCTGTTTTCCAAACTAAAAATGCCACTTAGTCTGTGTAAAACATGGTCACTTCATTTTAAACAGACTTATGAGTTTACCTTTCTCTGTAAATATTAGCACTGTAGTAATGCTATGAATCCTGATTCTACCACTTACTAGCTGTATTGCTAATGGGAAGAATCTTTCTTCACAAAACCATTTCTTCATCTATGAAATGGAGATAAAGTACATCATCCATGGGATTACTGTGAAATTTGGAACTTAATTAATCTAGTTCTGTGCCTGGAATATGATAGGTGGTCAACAAATACAATTCCAGCAAGATCTTCAAATTGCCCTCTATTTTTCTACTTCTGCCACACTGCTGCTGCACTGGCCACGCCCTGAAGACCAACTGTCTCTTGCATTTTTAAAAACTTGCTTTAAGTGCAAATAACAGAAGCTGGTCACAGAGGAAGAATGTTCTCTGCCTTTCTATCGATTCTCAGGTCCAAGGAGCAAAAGCAATTATGGAGTCAAATTACAGTATCCTTAGGTGCAACCCAGTCATGGCTTCCCTGAGGGAAGAAGAGATATTAGAAGACAAAAAGATTGTCTTTCTTAATTGTCTTATCTTTGCTGTGTGAGTAAATGTGGCTTTTGAGCCAATGTTACAGGACAGCTCCACACTGTCTTTTGAAAAGCCCTCTGATCTGCTCTGGGCCCTAAATCTGCCTTCATGGGTGCTGGTCTGCTACTGGCAGATGGTGCAGAGCTCATGCACTTGCTGAGACTGAATGAGGAATCGCTTCATATCCAGGTTACCTACTAAAGAAGCAAGGCAAGAGCAAGTTTCTGTCAACATGATTCCCTTAATCAAAACTGACACAAGTCTCTTTCCTCAGGGAAAGGGCTGCTCAGTTCAGTGGCCCAGGAGGGGAGTCCCGAGTTCCAATTCCTTCTCTTATTCTAACTTGGGCTGTGATATTGGCCACGTCACTTCCCTCTCAAAGCCTCAGTTTTCCCATCTACGCAACAAAGTGTCAGACTAGATGATTTCTATGGTTCCTTCCAACTCTGGCATTTTATGTGTGTGGCTTGAGCCTCCTGAAAAACAAATTTTAATCTGGTATTCATTTATCTTTTTTAGACCCCTTACAGTAAAAGAAAACAGTCACATATTTGTGGATCATAAAAGCAAGCAATGCCCTCTATTCCTCTCTATAAGGAATGCAGAGCAAAACATCACATAATGTGATTTTTCACATGAACAATGAGAACTTCGAAAGCCCTTTCCCTTTGTGAACTGAATACATCCCTATGTTCACTAAGAATTCTGGTAGGCCTGTCCCTTCACTGGATCACGTCTCCTCTTAAGGCACTGGGCAGTATCTGTGATGTGACTTAGGCAGTTGGGAGAGTGGAGATGGATGAAAGGCGTTGAAACAGCAAAGGCAGATTTGCAAAGAAGGTGTCAGGTTTCTCCTGGGACTCAGAGAGCAAACACAAATCCTCAAGGCTTCCCTGGACATCACCAACAGCTCCAGAAGCCAGTGATGCCCGCTCAAGGCTGCAACCATGGTGCAAGCACCACCCCAAGCCTAATTTTTAAATGCAGTCCTGCAAAGGAGAAGGCTGGCTCTTGGGATTCACTAATCCCCTTATAGCCTCCTAGAGTCCTCTGTCCTCATGTTCCACAGTACCATAATCTTACAGAAAAGATGCAAAACTGTTCAAAACTGTACCTGTACAGAGATGCCACCACATTGAGTGGGGGAATCTTTATAATTTATGTATATATATATATGCATATTTATATGTTTTTAAAAAGTCTTCTAGAAAGAACAATCAAAAGCTATTTGGAGAAGAAAAACAAAAAGACAATGTAAAACTTTCCCAGCTATTACTCAACTAGGAGTCTCTGGTTTCTAGGGTTTAAAACTCTGAGTTAAAAGCGCCAATACAAATCCTTTTAAATAATATACCTGACCAATGTAAACGCACTCATCAAGATGGCACGATGACTGTCAAGGTAGCCCTTCCCACTGGCGCACATTCCTGAGTTCACAAAGGTGCTGTGGAGAAATGACAGAGCAGAAGTGCTGGCTAACAAATGTGAGATGAGGATCCGGAGTTCACAAAGACCTGGGTACGGCCTTACTTAGAAGTTTTGTTGCCGCCTCTTCTTAGCCTCAATGGCATCCAAGATTGGCTGCCGTTTGGACTGATACTTTTGCCGAATCTCTTCGATCTCCTGCTCCATCATGGGGTCAAGGGCCAAGAGCCTCTTCTGAAGGTCCTCCACTGTCCAACTCTTAAGCTAAAAAAGAAGTGAAAAATACTGTCATGACAAAGCCTAAGCCTATGGCAGGATGGCAGAGAAATTCAGCTTTCCCAGAAGAAAGGGAGATTGGAGAATACTGTGGCCAGCATAGGGTGCTGGACAGGGATAACTGATTCCACCGAATGGCACGCCACAAAGCTGTTCTGGGACAATTTATCCTTGGAAAGGTACTAATCTTTTTTATTCATTGTGTCCTGACCAGAAACTCAGTGAATAGTACTTTCATCTTCCCTATCCTTTAAATTAGTGAAATATACATTTGCTTGTTAGGGCATTACAATTACAGAAACATGCTGCTACTATTGTGTGAAATAATGGCTGCCTTTAGTTCTTGTTGGTCCTGTGAAAGGAGCATCTAGCCAGTGCCTGTCTCTCTTTCTTGGTCCACACCCCAGAGGATGGTGCTGACTGAGGTAGGATGCTCTCCCCTAACCCCTGCCTTCCCACAGTGTCTTGGCACTGTACACTGATCACCACTAACATTTACTGGGGGCTAAGTAGATGCCAGGCACTCTTCTGAGTGCTACATTTGGATCATCTACATAGGACTCTTGAGCATATAGTCTTTGGGTAAGGGGTTGGAAAAAACCTGAGACCAAATTTCCATCCAAAGGAATAAAAAGACTTGATATATAAATTAATAATGGCTAGCACTTTAATATTGCTTTCTATATGCCAGGCACTAAGTGCTCACATGCATTGATTCATTTAACCCTTGTAACAAATGATATGAGAACATTATCATCCCATGTTACAGATGAACAAGCCAAGGAAAAGGGTGGCTAAATGTCCTGCCCAGTATCTCCCAGCTAGTAAGTGCCTAAGTCAAGATTCAAACCTGAGCAGTCTGGCTCCAGAGTGCATCCTCTTAACCAGAACCTGCAGGTCTTACAACTCAACCTGTGTTTAACACATGGCTCTTCCTCTTGCAAATGCTACAAGACTGACAAGTTACCAATATCTTTAGGCCTTCCTCAGCTACAGAAGGGGGACAGTGATGCCTTGTCATGTGTGGCATTAAGAATTAAGTGAGATCTGCTACCATAATGGTGTGCAGTGCTGACTGACTACCAGCAAGGCTAGCGGAGTGTGAATGAATGTCCACATTATCCACAGTGGGTGGTGATACTTCATTCTGTTGCTCATGGCTAGTTTAATAGGCAGAGTGTTTCCAGAACTCAAGGGCTCAACCAAGTCTCACAAGAGATCTGTTGTGTTCACATTTATAAAAATCATCATATCCCTCAGCCCCTTCCTGAGGCCTCAACAGGAAAATGTTAAAGAAGGTGTGAGTGAAGGAGGCCCTTTCTGTTCACCCTTCCTTATGGGGTGGGGTGTGAATGAGTGCTACAGTGGCCTCCCTAGAAATGGTGTAGTGTGACCTGTCACCACAGGAATTTTCCTTGGCTGGCTTCGGGGAGGTTGTCTGAGAAGTGAGAAAAACTAACAGTTAAAGACGAAAGGTTCTTTATAATGTGAGAATGGAAAGACTTTAGAGTATGGGGAAATGCTGGAAAGTTGAGCTGAAAAAAAAAAAAAAAATGCAGTTTCTTTCCAGCCTGTGGTTTCATACCACCTTCGAGGCTGATGTTCTTGGTCTAGGATACCCCAAAGAGTGATCCTTGCCTCAGCTTTAGTGTCTTCAATTCTTTCTCCAAAGAGAGAAGACCCCAAACCTGAAACTGAATGTCACTGGTTGCTAAGAGCTTAATCTTTAGAATCACAGACCTGAATCTGTACTGTCTGTGCAACCTGAAGAAGTAAGTTTGCCTCTTGAGCCTCAGTTTTCTCTGAAAAACAGACAATCCTAGTTCTGCACCCTTGGGCTACAGTGAAACTTAGATGAGATAAAAGGCATAGCATTCTCAGCTCAGAACTTCCTATAGTGTGTTTGGCAAGTAGCAAACATTCCATAAGTGGTAGTTTATCACTGTTGTTAATTTATTATTGGAAAGTTTTTAATTAATCTTTCATAACAACTGTTCCTGAAACCTCTGATTCAAGCAGAATCAACAAGTGAAAAAGAAAATATCCAACTTTATTTTGTGCTGACAATGCCTAAGGACTGGTACCTTCCCACAACTTCCATTAACTCATGTATGATTTAACAAAATATTTTTCATCCACTCATTTATCAAACGTTCACTGAATTCCTAGTGTGGGTCAGGCACTATTCTAGGCACACAGGACACTGCAGTGAAACAAAAAGAAACAAAAAGCAAAGATCAATGCGTTTCTGAAGCTTATGTTTCACTGAGGTGAGAATAAATAAATAAATAAACACAGTAAATCAGCAAATTATTCTCACCCTATAATGTGATCTGTGTTTTGGAAAAAGAAAACAAAAGAGTGAAGGAAGCAGGGCTGGGAATTGAGATAAACTGCCTTGCATCCACCATTACGATGAAGGATATGAGTGAGTGAGACCGCACTGACAGTCTAAAATGCTCTGCGATTATGGGCAGGCCCCTCATCCCCACAGGCCTGCCCCCCATCTGTAAGAGGTCTTTCCAGACTCAATGTTTCTCCACATAAATGGGTCATCTGTACCAGAATCACTAGCTAGAAATAAAAAGTCCTGGGTTCCAACTCAGATTGGGGCACCAGCTTAATCAGATTCTCTTGGAGGTGAGGCATAAGACCACATTTTAAGACTACATTTTAAATAAGTTAATTCAGGTGTTTCTTATAAATCCTCAAATTTTATAAGCATGACTCTACATCCTCCTTATTATTCTATTAGCAAAATCCTCACGAAATAATTTCTATCTCTGGTCAAAAGCTTTTAGGTTTCTAATTTCTAGGTAGTTTTGATTTCTTGATTCTAATCAGGGGGCGATGAACATTCTTGCTCCATTTCATCTTCCTTTGACTCTAATTTACAGCTGCCCTAAGGCCCTTGGGGCTTAAGTTACACCTGACCTTTTAGAACATTGAGCCAGGCACTGCTGAAGACTTGGTCACACCATTAAAATATGGATTTTCCTGAAAAACAAGCTTAGACAATGATTTTATGGCGCCAAGTGTAGTAGTATTTCACCTTCCCAGTCCTTGATGTCAAATAAACTTCATGTAGCTACCTTACAAGTAAAATATCTGTAGTTCTACAGTTTTTATATAGCCAGCACCCTAAAAGAACAAATTCTTAAACCAATCATGTAGGTAGCTTGAGTTATTTTTCCCTAAGTAAGGGAATTCACAATTTAGCATGCCTTAGGATTTAAACATCCTCTCTATGCAATGGCCCCCACATTTATGGTTCTAGCCCAGAGTTCTCCTCCAGCCTCAGACACTTGTCTAGATCAGAACCCTCAGGGTACCTCAGTCCCTAGTATCTCATGGAAATCTACAACGTACATCCAAGACAAAACCCTTTTGAGTCCCATCTCTCCCTCATCCCCAAACCTTTTTTGGGGGGACGCGGAAGTAGGGTGGTAGTGGGGATAGATCCCAGGGTCTTACACATGCTAGGCAAGGACTCTACACCTGAGCTATATACACACCCAGGCCATCACCAAACTCTCCCTACTTCCTAGTCTTCCCCACACCAAGCACTGCCCTTCTCTCAGGTTCTCAGAATCATCCCTGATCCCTCCCTTTCCCTTACTCCCCTCCTGCCCGCATCCCAGCTTCATCAGTCCTATCAATCTCATCTCTGAAATACTAATATAACTTAAACCCAACCGTGTTTTCTGTCTTCATCTCTAGCCCCTCAGACCAAGCCACCATCACCTCCCAGCAACAAACACACTTAAACACAGGCAAGAATCAGATAACCCACGTTTACTCTTTCTACTGCACTCTTGTAAAATCCAAATCCAAGGGCTACAAAGGTCCCACATCTCTGGTCCCCACCACTCCTTCTGACTTCCTGATCTGTCACTCTCCCCTTTGTTCAGACCCTTTTTGCACTTTTTCCAGACTCAAAGGCCTAGATGGCTTATGCTCAGTTCTTTGCTTAGATGGCTCATGCTCAGTTCTTTATCCTTTAAATTTTGGCTCAGACAGCAACTCCTCAGGGGTCATGAGTAAGCCTTTTCTCACTGTCTTATCTGGAAAGGTTGCCTCCTCTGTTTATTTCCTTCAAAACAACCATGCATCTTGTAATTATTTTTATTCCTTTTATTTGTTTCTCTCATTAAAATGTAAGTTCTATGAGGGGAACAAATGACCTTATCTATCTTATTGACTAATGCTTATTATTAAACATAATACTGTTTCAAGGAATAGATGAATAAAATTCCCTTCATTTGTAGTCGAACAATTATGAGAACCACTGACATCCACAGAGTAGGCTTACACTGAGCACCATCACACACTACACAACTATGGGGCAGGTGCTGAGAGGACACAGTGTATAACAGGTGGTAAGTTAGTTTCTGTTCTTTTGAAGCTTGTAAACTTAAAAGTGATTCCCTTCAGCAGTCTTTTGGAATTAAAAAAACAAAAACAAACAAAAAAACAACTCTGCTCACTTAATTAACGCTTCTGTGTTTTGTACTGTTGACAATAATCAGATCTCTAATCCTAGGGCAGCCATTTCTAAAGGGCATGCCCAGTGTAATTTTTTATTCAAAAAAGAACTTCAAGAGGTACACCTTGGAAAGAACGAGACAATAAAAAGAATGATAGACATGGTCCTTCTGGTCAAAATGAGTGACTACCTCAGAGCCACAGGGTCATTATGGAAGGTGCTATGTGGAAGAGAACAGACCAGCACAGGCATTTCTGGCCCTCTTCCTTGGAGAGGTCACATTTCAGAAGGAGAAGCTAAAATAAGCCTTTTAATCTTAGGTATTTAGAATTTCCAGACCACCTGTAGACTAATCAACAGGAGTTCTGGGTGAATGGGAAAGGATGGGCTCTGAGTCTGACAGTGCGTGCCGGGGTCTATGCTGGCACGTGCTCCCTGTAGCCTAATAAACACTGAGCTCTTTATCTGTTGCTGCCTTTACAGTCGATGTCTGATGTCTGCT